AAGAACTTCCAGATGAGATTTACACAGAAGAGAAAAGTCAAACCCTTATAAAAATTTTCTCTGGGAATATTAATACAGCCCTTTCTAAAAGTAGGAGATGAGTTGGACACCCTGCCTGTCTTTTTCAATTCTCGACCCGACTGATGTTCTCTCACAGGGTGTGCAGAGTTGTTCCCCAAATCACTTAAAATCTAACTTAAGCAAATAGCTGCAATAATCTAAAAAGTCCTCTATCTGTGGAATTTTTCAATAAATTATTTCTCAATAATTTATTTACTTCAATAAATCAGTAAAGATCAGTGTAAAGCCTGGTGATCCGCCCTTGACTGCACACACTGAATAGCCCCCTACTCACCCATGCACAGCTCTGCGGCTGGTGTGCTGCTCACCACCAGCCAAGGAAGGCAGCCATGGGGGGCTTCTTTTCTGAAAGCAGACTTCCCTTTGGGAGACTAGAATACCTGTGTTAACTTGCAAAATCCTTTTTATTCATTTTTAGGAAACATTCATTGAACTCTTACTGTTAACCCCCAAATTTCAGTACCCTAAGACAACATAAGTGTTTTGTGCTCGTATCATTGTGTAATACAGGTCATTCGGAAAGCATTTCTGCCCCTTGCAGAAATTCAGTGACTCAGGGTTTTTTTTTATCTCATGAGTCCTCTGTTCAGACAATCGATAGGGAAAGAAAATGAAGATTACGTGGGAGTTTTTTACAAGCCATGTATGGAAACAAGTGGGATACATCACTTACATTCACATCCCATTGGCGTAAACTCAGGTAAAAGGCCACACTTAACTTCGAGGAGATAAGGAAGTACAATCTGGCTAAACACTCAGGAAGAAGAGAATGCTAACAATTTCTGCTACATATACTATGTGCTCTGCTCTCAAGGAGATGGGTATTTTCTCTAATGAAGGAATAAAATATTATACATTTCATAAGGAAGGTATTAAAGTGCCTACGAAGCAAGGAGGGAGCAGTTAGACCTACTTGGGGACAAGGGGTGTTGATTAGCAAAGGTTTCAAAGAAGAAGGTAACATGTGAACTAAAACCTTCTGGTGAGAAAGTGAGGTAGGGATCCCAGCCAGAGCAGAGGCATGATGATACAAACAAAGGGCAATATGGCCCAGCAAGACCACACATCCTTGAGGTATTGAAGGAGGAGTGGTGAATGATGAAGCTAGAAAGTTTCATTGAAGTCAGACTGTGAATAGTGTTAGGTGGCTCTAAAGAGATTGGATTTGTATATGTGCAGCACGGTGCCTTCAGAGGTAGTTGTTGTGTTTAAGAATAGCACATTCATTCATTTAACAATTATGGAGCATCCTGTTTTGTAACTACTATGCTTGCTGCTAGGGATACGAAAGAAGGAAGATATTCCTTGCTCTGGTAGCAATATAGAGGGTTCATTGGAGAGAACTGGATCAAAAATATAGAGGCCAGAAAGGAGCTCCTTTCTTACTCTTAATGAAGAGAGATGAGCCCTGAACATGAATATTGGCAACGAAAATGGGAAGGACTGGATGGATTTAGAGATAGACTGTGGAGTAGAATCGGATGAGCTCCTAGTCAGTCAGATGCACTGCATGAAGATAAGATTGTAGGAAAGGGACACAAAGGTTTCCAACCTGAGAGATAACAGGGAAACACCAAGGAAGAGGATAACAGGGAAACACCAAGTTTGAGGGACGGATTATGAGTTCTGACCTGGACAAGAGTTTGAAACATCTGTGTGGAGGTATCCAGGACGTAATGGGAGATGAGTTCTGTGACCAGTAGAGGGGCCAGACTGGAGCTACGACAGGTTAACATATGGGTTACATTTTACACCTCTTTAGACTAAGGACAAAACCCAGTAAATAAAAGGTAGGTAAAAGAAACAGCAGCCAAAAAAGTTTGAAAAAGAATCACTAGAATTATGAAAACATTTGATAAAGATGTGGTTGGTTAGCTGTTTGTTTTTTTTTAAAGGAGAAAGTATCCATAACAACGTAAATCAGATAACCATTAAATTAGGCTATTAGAGTTCTTAGGACTCAGAAAAACTGTGAGGGCAAAATCTATCGGGAAAAGAAAAGGCAGTAACTTGGTTGGGAGAAGAGTTAATATTGTACAGGACTTGTGAGCCTTGGATATATTTATAGTCTAAGGATAGGCAAGAGTGAGTTTGAACCTTAAGAAGCATAAAGAACCCTAAAGGAAATGGAAAGGAATAGGTTCTAAAGCCCAGGAGGATGGATTTACTTTCCCAATCAAGGCAAAAGAGAAGTAAGAACGGACAGAAGTGTGGAGGCGAATGGGAGTGAGGCTGAGAAAACACAAGGGGTTCAGGGAACCAGTGCGGGCACTTGTAGTGAAGAAGGCATAGTAAGTGGTGGGAAATGAGAAAGTAAACCAACTCTGGATGCCGACTAAGGAGGAACAACATGGAAGGATCCAGGTTAACTTCTAAATCATTGGTTTTTAGTAAAGCTAATAACATTTATATACCATTT